ATTATATGACTCAGGGTTTTTAGTCGTAATAGTATAAACCACTATGTCTTCTGCCATTTACATATATTTAAAAGTTTTTCTGAAAGTGGAGAAGAACTTCATCTAAACTTTCACATGGCGTTTCTTGAAGTTCTCTGTCTAAGAAGTTCAAATATTTTGTAAAGACATAGAACTTTCCTTTGTCTACACGAACAAACAAAACAGGGTCTTTCATATCTTCAAAAGTGTGTAAAGTCCTTTACATGAAATAAAGTCTATATTATTTTCTTCAAACATCTTTCAAGAAGTTTTGACATTTTTACTTAGCAAATAAATTTTAATGAAATGTTGTGGTCGTCAAATATTTTTATAACGTCTGGGAAACTATATTTTAAGTTCAACGTTTCACCTCCTTTCATAACGTATATCTTGTCAATGACATTATATGAAACACCACAGCAACTAACGTCGGGTTCTATTTCTTTGATGTTTATATCGTCTGCCTCTGTCAAAAGTTTCAATAGTTCTTTCAAAACTTCATGAGGTGCAATGACATATGAGTTCACTTTTACAGGGTTGTGTTCGACCAAGTTTAACATTATACCTAAAGCTTGACAAATCTTCTCCTGAGTTTGAAGTTTGTCTTTCAGTTGTTGGTAGTCGTTTCGAATATCTGCAACAGAACTTAAGTCTCTGCTAACTTCAGGGTATGTTGGTTGTTCTTTTACAGGAACTATTGTTATACCATCTTCGTCTTCGTATGGTTTCCCCACTTCAACATCTCTGTCTTTGACATTGACAATAACACTTTGACTGTTTGTTTGAGTTGGTGAATTTAACTTCACATCTGCCACCGCCATTAAACCTTTTGAAACACTTACGCTTCTATTTTTCGGAAATGACATTTTACTTAGAATAAAAAGATGGACGTATTTGAGTATCTCTTCGAATTGAAGCAAACAAAGTTTACACACACAAACAATACAAATACATTGACAGAATAGTTCTTTACACAAACAATGGAAAATGTTATAGAATAGCAGTCTTTGCTGAACCAAAATATTTTCATAAAGCAAAGAAAGTTGGTATAACTGAAATGGTGAAAGTTCTTGAAGCAGACAAAAATATAACAACAAAACTTACAGATATTTCTAAAGGTAAGTTTATAATACAATATTATGTCAAAACTGGCGTACTGTCAATATTTGACGGAGAGAAGTCAGTTCAAGAACAACTTACTGACCTGCTGCCAAAATCTGCTCGATGGAAGCTGTCGTTATGCCAATCTGAGGAGCCCCAGCAGGTTTCATCGAACGAATCTTCAAAAGAGCATCTTCCGTGAAAAGTGCTATTGGTTTTGTAAACTTCTTTGCTTTCAATTCATCTGGACCGTCTCTGTCACCAGTATATTGTATTTGAACTGTACCAACAGTTGAAATACCACCCATAAAGTCTTCTGAGTCAGCAAATGGAATGCCAAGCCAAAAGTTTGAACGGTCTCCATTTGTATATTGAGTTTTTTGACCTCCTGTATGAGTCCATACTTTCACATATGGCATAATAGAACTTTGCATTTCAGGGTTAATGGTTGTTGTGAAGTTGTTGTTAAAGTTCATAGCATCTAATGTCAAGTTGTATGACCTCATATCCTCAACTGTAGAATATTCTTCTCTTGGATAATATTTGCCATCTATGTTTATATGATATTTAATACCGGGGTTGTAGAAACAAGAATAGTCATTTATAGTTCGTCTGAACAGTACAAACATAGTATCTGCATGTTTCATTGCAGTTGTTAAGGCAATATCTGTTCTTGCACCTGGGTCAGCACTTTGGTTTCCAACTTCACCTGCAAAGTCTTTGACAGATATTTGGTGTATAGGGAACATAAGTGGAACTGCAATATATTTGGCAGCTAAAGCATTTGAAATATCTGGGTCCAACATATAGACTGCAAGTCTGCTTTCTATTCTCTTGCATTCAAATTTTTCGCATGTGAACTTAACTGGGTCCCAAGCAGTTCCAGCAGCATTGAAATAATAGTTTACTTCAGTGTTGAAGTTTGAGAAACCAAAGTCTAAGTCAACTTTGTCTTTGCAAAAGTCGGCGAATGACGTTTTAATTGTTCCCTCTACGTCTGTAATAGTGAATGGGTCTTGTGTTGGTGCAATGACTAAGTTATTTTTGCTTGGAGTAAGTTCAATAGAAATTTTTCCTGCCCAGTTTGGCAAGTATCTTAAAAACCTGAAGATGAGGAAAGATGACAAAGGAACTCTAAGTTTCAGTTTTACTTTAGTGACAGCATTTCCATCTGAACCAGAAAGGTTAACATAAACTCCTGGAACGTTAGGGTCAAGTCTTCTTATTTTCTCAATAGTTGCATACTGGTCTGTTTGTTCTCTAGCTTGTGGTTGTACTGAGTTTCTCAAAGCGAACCATTCATAGTTTGCCCATGTTACTGTTTGAACTAAGTCAGAGTTAGAATATATCTTATATCCCATGAAAACTTCTGGAGCATATTGGTATCCGACATAGAAAATTCCATTGCAACCTTTCTTGTCAGACAACTTGGCAGAAGGTTTTATTTCAATGGCTTGTTCCACGTATAAGAATGAGTTGTCAATAGAAATAATATGAAACCTGTCGCAAGCAATATCTACTGTTGTTGAAGAACCTTCTCCAAACTCACCTACGTTTCCATAAGAAACAGCAGTTGTATATTCGTAAGTTCCAGGAACTATTTCTGACCTTCTAATGGCATTGTCGCATTCGTTATACCATTCGGAAACATTTCCGTTCATGGCATCCAAAACTGTTGGCGTTATATTCTGAGCGGCGTACATTTCATATGGGTAAAAATATAGAATAGTTGGATTTATGTGTCATAATAGAACCCCCGTGGACCAAGCTTTACTTTCTTCCTGGCTGAGTTTTTAACTCTTCTTTTTCCTTCATTGCCACTACTTTCACTAGATGAAGTTACTTCTTCACTACTTTCACTTTGTTCTACTCTTCTCTTCTTCTTTGGTGTCGCTTTTGGTAACTTGCCCTCTGCTTCAAGTTGTTGCATCTTTGCCTCATGTTCACCTAGTATGTTGTAAATTTCCCATGTCCTTTTTGCCTTTGGGCTCTGGTCGCCCATCTCAGGTAACCTATATCCTAGAAAGATTTTGTCATAGTTTGTATTTGAGTCTTCGCGTATTGTTTGCATGACTCTTTCCTGAGTTTCCGGTTCAAGCTCTTCAAACAGAGCTTGTCCATATGGAATAAGCTCGTTTCCAAATATATGTTTTTGTAGCCATTCTGGTTTTCTTTCCATGTTACCAATAATATCTTTTGTGAATGGGAAAGCTTTTACCCAATGTTTCAGTCTTGCGTCATTTATTTCTGTAGTTGGTTTTATTTTGTCAAGGAACATGTTTTTCAATACTAACATTTCATTTGGTACTGTCCATTTGAGTTTTCTTAAATATTCATCCCTTCTCGGTTCATTGTCTGCAAAGTAAGTTTTTATGACATTTTGTAAACTTTCGTTTGCAAGGTCATGTACAATAGGTTCTCTTCCTTCTCTTCCCTAACTTTCTTTCTAAACTCTTCACCAAATATACCATCTTTATGGTTCTGTGTAGTTCTTTGAGATAAATGTTCTAGAACGTCAGGTGTTATATTTCCATCAGCCATGTTCATTTCATACTGGTCCAAAATATCTGCATGTTTCATATCTTTCAATGGCATTAAAGCCGCGCTGAAAATACCAGCTATATCTGGTTCACCATTGACTTCCATTGCGTCTACAACTTCTTGGAATTGTGGTTGTAAGTTTATGAACCACCTATCCGGATTTAGCTTTATGACCCCATCTCATTGTAGTTCCATAGTCTGCAGAAACAAAAGTAGGTTTGTTTCCATATTGGTTAGGTTCTGAATGAACTTTAAACAATGTTTCATTTCTATATGTTTTGTTGAAATTTAACCTTTTATTTTCACCGAGTTCAGCCAAAGATTGAACGTTATATGGTCGTAAGTAAAAAGGGTTATTGTATTTGCGTACATTTTCTTTCAGTACCTCCATTCTATGCTGAATATTTTCATCTGTGTTGGAGTCTTTTGTATGTCGGCAAACATTTTTCGATATTCTTCTACTATGTCAGCCGAATTTTTCTTAGACTCTTGGAAAGATTCCATATTCACCTCATACTCTTGTTGAGGGTCAAGATTTTTCGGCTGTTCCAAATCTTCATCTAGTTCTGTGAAGTTAGTTTCCAAAGGAGGGACTTGTTCGTTTCCTTCAGGCTCTTCTAGCTGTTGTTGCTGAACTATTTCTTCCATGTCTGGTTGTATCTGAACTTCTTCCTGTGGAGTTTCTTGTACCTCATCTGCTGGCATTTCATATATTCCGAGACCGTTTTAACAAGTTCCCTATCTAAGTCATCCGGACTCATAAACCTTTCTTCTTTCGTTCCGTCTCTATTTTTTACGCGTTTCATGAAGAGAGTTGAATTGTCATTTAGCTCTGACACCAAATATCTCGGAGTAAATTCGTCATGTCATTTGGATGATATGCTATTAAATCATATCCCTTAGCGAGCTTGTATTTTCCAGGTTTGAAATTATATCCCATTTGGTGCTGAGCCATAAAGCTAAATAGGTTCGGGTCAGTATTTCCTTCCTTGAACTTTCTAATAGCTTCTTTATATCTGTCACTAAAGTCAAGAGTAGCTGGGTAACCATATTCTTCCTTAAGCATTTTTAAGAAATCTTTGTTTCCTTGTTCTCTACTTCTTTTATGTCCTTGCTCTGTTTGTGGTTGTTGTTGTGCAGGGTTTTGAACTGTTGGTTGCTGTGCTGGTTGTGGAGGTGGTTGTTGTGCTGGTTGTTGTTGTTGTGCTGGATTTTGAACTGTTGGTTGTTGTGCTGGATTTTGAACTGTTGGTTGTTGTGTTGGTTTTGGTGCATGCCTGTGTCTGTGTCCATGTGACGATGTAAATGTTTTAGGTAGTCCTGGTGCAGGTGCTTCTCTTGGAGGGTTTGGTGGTATATAAGTTCCACTAGCTAGTATATAAGTTCCACCAGCTGGTATATAAGTTCCACCAGCTGGCACATATGTTCCATCTGCAGCATAATGTCCTACCTGACTTTTCGTTTTTAAGAAAGCATTTACTAGGTCTGTTTTGGTCTGTTGTAACTCTTTTCTTGACTTTCCACAACAGTTGCTCTAACGGCGTCATAGGCACTTTGAACTGCCTGTCTCGTTGCTGCATCTGTTATTTTCGTCATATTTTGTGCTACTTCTCTTAACTCTTTGTCGAAACCTTCAGACTTCAGTTTCTTTCCAGATGAGAAGTCGTTCACTAGTTTCACCTTACTATGAAGAGCTTCGAAGGCGTTCTTAAAGTCAGCATTTGTTAAAGCTTCATTTGAACTGTCTTCATCCGCTTGTATTTTTGTCCTTATTGACCCTATAAGTTGGGCTGCTTTAGCGTTGGCTTGGGTATCTAACCAGTCATTGTTAGCTTTTATATATTCTGCGCTTTTCATTGCCTTTTGCATGGCTGCGTCGTTATTTTTACTTTCTTGTGCTAAGTTTTCATACTGTACGGTTTGGTTTTGCAACTGTAAAAGTTTTTCTGCCTTTACATTTGCTTCAACTTCTTTTTTTTACTCATCGCTATCCATATATGTCTTCATGGCTTTTTGTTTTATCTCTTCATCTTTCAGTACTTTATATTGAGTAGTATGGTTTTTCAAATTTACAACATCTTGTTCCATTTTTGCTACTTCTGCTGCTTTTTCTGACACTTTTTTCGCATATTCCTCTGTACTTAGTTCTTTCAGTTGTTCTTCTTTCTTCTTTTTCTCTACGTTTAACTCATTGAGTTTCTTTGTGTGTCTGTCATATTCTAGTTTCTTTTCGTTTTCACCTATTTGTTTCTGTATGTCTATGTTTGACTTTTTGACATCTGATATTTGATTTTTGAGTGAACTCAAATTCATTTGACTTTGAGGGTTATATGCTGTTCCGTCTGCAGCTCCACCATAGCCTGCCATTTTCGCAAAAGTGCCGCTCTTAAACCTCCACTCTGTGCACCAAAACTCGGTTTAAAAGCATAGGATTGCTTGACATTTGTTGCAACATAGTGGGGTCATTCAGCATTTGTTGTTGCAACTGTTGTTGTGGTGTTAGTTTTACTATTGGATGTTTCAATGCTCTCTTCCTCTTACGTATATTCTTACGTAGCTTACGTGGCATTTTAAGTGAAGTTAAAAAGCGGTTTTTGACAGATGTTATATGACACTTTCTCCGGTTTATAGGACCTCTCTCATATTCTATCTTGTCATATCTAAACTCATAGTCATGTATGTCCTCTAACCATCTCATAACGGTTTCCAAACCACTTTTATCGGATGTAAAGTAAAAGCATGGATGGTTATGTAAAACGTCTAAAGTTTCTAAAGAGTCTCTCAAAGTATACTTCCTTGGAACGCCCGTAACTTTTCCTGTAGCGACGATAGACCCTTACTTGTCCGGACAAAGTTATACTATTTTGAGTGCTCTACAAAAAAAGTCAACAGCGACGACTCTCAAAAATTTTTTATGGGCTAGAGGGCGCAACGCGCCTGGAAGCCCCCAGTACCCAAAAAACTTCATTTATACTAAACATCTTCAGGGCTAGAGGGCACGAAGTGCCTGGAGGCCCTCCAAATAAAAACTTCAGGGCTAGAAGGGGCGCAGCCCCTGGAAGCCCCACTACCTTTTTTTTTTTTTAATTTCTTAAAGTTCAATGTTGAACTCATCAAATTCTTTTTAAAATTAATTTTTTTTATTTTTTATTTCATTACATTATGTATGGGCTGAGTGTAAATGTCTTACAATTTTGAAAATTTTTTAAATCTTGATTTATTCAAAAACGTAAGAATAAAAACCGTAAGAATCATACATTTTTTACTTCATATGTTAAAAAAAATGATACAAAATCGTTCAATATTGTATGAATTCTTACGTTTACAAAAAAAGTCACACAACCCTTCAACATATACTACTTTTAAATTATTTATCAAAATTAAAATTTAACTTGAAATTTATAATTATTTAGTCATATTTTGCATAATTCTAAGTAGATTTTGTAAAAAATCAAGAAAAATTTTAACGTGCTTTATTTTTTCTTTTTTATAATAATACATATTATTATATAATTAACATATTCATAATGTTTCACCCTTTCAAAAATATAATCCTCCTCCTCTCAAATAAACGTACATACGGGTGGCCTCTTTTTTCAAAAAATTAAAATTTGAAATTTTGGGCTCAAATATTAGAGATTTTTTCAACCTTCAACGATATATGTTGTTTATATCAGACCTCCTTTCTTTTTGATACTTAACATTGTTCCTAAATCTTAGCCGTTAAGGCTGTTCTGAAAATATTTTTTTTTTCGAAAAAATTCGAAAAAAATTCTTAAAATTCAAAAATCCCTTAATTCCTGAGGATTTTGGAAAAAAGTTTTTACATGATATTCTTAAAATCTTCATTATCAAAATAATATTAAATGATAATATAATATAATTTATAAACAACTATTATTTAATAAAGTTTAATTGCCAAGGTTGATCTAATTTTTTGATTTTTAGTAGTATATGTTGACGGGTTTTGTGACTTTTTTTGTAAACGTAAGAATTCATACATTTTTGAGCGATTTTGTATCATTTTTTTTTACATATGAAGTAAAAAATGTATGATTTTTACGGTTTTTATTCTTACGTTTTTGAATAAATCAAGATTTAAAAATTTTCAGAATCGTAAGAAATTTTCACTAAACCCATACATAATGAAATAAAAAAAAATAAAAAAAATAAAAAAATAAACTTTAAAAATTCATGTCTTACATTTTTTGAATAATTTATTTTTTTAATTCGTATGAAAATGAGTGTCAAGACTAACGACGTTAAAAAATTGGGATTCACAAACGAGGAAATAAAGGATATATTAGAGGAGGCGAGTTATGAAGTTAATAAATATTATTTAAGAAATTGTCAAAAATTCGCGGAGTTATTAAATGATTTAGATTATGATGGAAAAATGAATAAAGATGATGTTATAAATTTCTTATATCCCACATCTGAAGAAGAAAAACCTAAAGAACCTGATGTTTTCCCTGAATATTATGAAGAACGGATTAAAGATGATGAATATGATGAAATTGAAAGACTGGAAAAAATAAGAGATGAAATAGATGAAAAAATTAAGGAATTAAGAGAAGTTGAAAAATATAATGAGAATGAAGTAGAGGGTTTAATGAATATCCCAGCTTCAGAATCAGAAGTTCAAAAATCTCATGAAGAAAGATATAAAAATTACTTTTTGGAATCTACTAAAAATTTATTAGATGGTGAAATAGATGAAACACTTTCAGAAGAAGGCACAAAATTTATTCATAAACATAAGTTACAATTTATTGACGATGGAGATTATCCATGTATATTACTTTCACCTCCTCTTGATTCTGAAAAATTCAAAAAAGCACTGAAAAATGTAACATATGCAACAAATACGATTAAGAAAGAAGACCATGATATTTACACAAATTATTATTTAAATAAATGTGCAGGTGTTGATAAAGTTTTTGATTTGTTAGATAAAATATCAAAAGAAACAATTGGTACATATAAAATTTTATGCGATTGTGGTTTCATTATTGAAGATACTAATAATGTTTCATATGAAAGAACAGCACCGAAGGAAGACGAAGTTGAAAGGTCTATACCATTCGTTATTAAGAATATAAAAGATATGAAAACTTATAAACATTATATTTATTCATTTATTTCAGAAAAAATGGAAGCAACCCATAAAACATCATCTCATCATTTTATAGCTATTCATACATTCCTTTTCAAAGTTGTGAAATTAAATAAGACAGGAATTAGATTTAATGTATCAGGGTACGCATTCTTGAGTAAATTAAAATGTATTCGTCACGTCGCAGATGATAAAAATTTATGTGTTCTTAATTCATTTTATGGACTTTAGCCCTGGACTTTAAAAAAAATAAACTTTATTTTTATTTATTTTTTAATTTTTTATTCTTACATAAATGAACAAAAACGGAACAGCTAAAATGAATGATAATCAAATAAGAGCCGAAGGTAGAAGGTTATTTAAACGCTTCTATAACATTCCTGATGGTGTTAATCCTAAAACTCGTAGAAGTTATTTAAATGAAGCCATAGATGCATATGAAGGATTTGACATTTCATCAGAAAGTGAGAGGTTAGCAAGAATGTTAAACGTTAATATTGATTTTTATTATTGTGACCCTCAACCAGAAGACGTAGACATAAATAAGGTAGACTTTCCATTAGTGGAATCAATAATGATAGATCCAGAATTTGAAACAGTAAATATTTTATTAACACAGAGTCCATGTGGAAAACTTCACGCTGACAGAATTACAGACGTTGAAGCACTCACAGGATATAAAGTTTGCCCCTTTTGCAAAGAAGAAGTATATTCTATCCGTGATGACCCAGAAAGGAAAAACCAAAGAAGATTTTTAAAGCATTGTGAGAAATGTAAAGAAAATAATGGAAGATTAATTCAAGACGTTCAATTGCAAAACACACAACAACCATATGCACCACATATCACGAAACAGAAGATATATCAATGGCTATTAGCCACAATTTGCAGGAATATTATAAACCAACAAGATATTATATTACTTTTGACTTCGAAACATTAGAGACTAAAGAAGAACTTCAACTTTCTGAATGTGCAACTTTGAACGCTTACTTAAAACCATTTATGGTATCATCAACTGTCAAAATAAAGCCGCAAACGGACTCTTTGAGTCCTGAAGGTCTTTCAGACCGAAGCGGCGAGGTCGTAGACCGTGATAAAACATTTACGAGGAATTTTTGCTTAACATCAAGTGATTCGTTCATCTCTGATTGGATTGAATTTTTATTTTCAACCTGTTCATTAGTTGCTAAATCAAATATTGAACAATATGAAGAATTAATGAAGCCGCAAACGGACCAAACGGCGGGGACTTTGTCCCATACATTAAATGAAAAACAGAAGGAAGCATTTAAAGAACTTCTAGATGAGGAATTCAATAAAGTGAATATCATAGGTTTTAATTCGGGAAAGTTTGATTTAAATTTAATTCTTCGTGATTTAAACACTGCAAAATGGAAAATAAAATCAATGCTGGGTTCTTCTTCTCAATTTAAGCAAATCATTGTAAAGAAAACAAACTGTCCATATGAATTAAGATTTATTGACATCAGAAATTATATAGCGGGTGGAACATTAGACCAATTCACTCAAGATTTCGGAAACAATAAATCACGTGTTAAATCCTTTTTCCCTTATCAATTCATCACATGGGAGAATTACGAAGATGAATTATATAAAGTGGAACCATTCACTCAAGATTCATTTTATTCAGCATTAACTCAAGAAACAATATCCGATTCAGATTATCAAATATATCTCAATGATGCTAAAAATTTTGAGAATAGATTAGAATATTTTATTCATTATTGCAATAAAGACGTTGAAATTATGATTGACCCAATTGATAAAATTATTGAAGAAACATTTGTTTATAAAATTGACATGCTTCATAATCTTTCTTTATCATCGAATGCATCAATGATTCGTTACGCGTTAGCATATAAGAACTTCAATCCTAACGAAACATATCCAGAAGAAGAAAATGTGGAATCAAGTTTTGAATTAACAAAAAAGTATTGGAAATATAAAATTGATTCATATAAGAAACAAGATGAAAAAGCAGAAAGGGATACTAAAAACAATGTTTCAATGGATGACTATCAATACTATCACGATTTAATCCTTTCATCTAAATGCAAAATGTGTGGTAAAGCGTTTACATATGCTAATAAACCAACATTAGATAGAATCGATAATGAAAAACCACATACCAAAGAAAATTGTCAGTTAATGTGTTGTTATTGCAATGTCGTAAAATCAAATAAAGATGAAGATGTTCAACGTTTAAGAATCAATTTAAGAAATTATACATTAAAAAATAATTTACCAATGACTCTAGATTCAGTTGAAGCTTATCACATCCTCCGTAATGGAATTACTGGTGGTTTATCAAATGTTCAACATAGAGTAAATCTTAAAGGAATCACGCACATTAATAAACTTTCATATAATCCAGAAACTAAAACTGTATCAAATGAGGACACTTCCAACATTATGACTCATTTCGTTGGTGTTGACTTTAATTCATTATATCCTTCATCATTTTCATCTAATCCTCATGATTTCATTCAATATACTGACCATAAAATGTATATGCCGGGAAGATTGAATGGTGTTATCATTTGTGATACAGCAACAAAGAAAGCAAAAGCACTGGGAATAATTAAGAAGAAAAATACTTTATTCGTGGCTGAAGTAAAGGGTCACATTGATGAAAAATACATTAATGATTACATAAACTTTTTACCAATAATAAGAAACTTTGATATTATCACAGATGAAAAAACAATTGGTGGTTTTATGTATAATTACATGAAATCAAACAATCTACCAGTTGACCAGAAACAGAGGAAATTAACTCAGTTAGCATCAACACACAACCAATATCAACCATTTTCTTCTTATTATCTTTGGTATCTAATAGACAGATTTCATTTTATCATTGATGACATTCAATCAATTTTAACATTTACGAAAAATACTTGTTTTAATGAATTTGCGAATGAATTTATGAACGAAAGACAAAAGGCTGAATTAGAAGGAAATAAAGGAAAAAGTTTATTTTGCAAGATTTCACTTAATGGATCATATGGTTACGATGCAATGAATACACAAAATTACGCAAAGACTAAAATAATGAATGCACAGAAGGCACGCGTTGCATGTATGTCAAATAAGTTTAAAAACATAAGAGAAATAGGAGAGGATACGTATCAAGTGATGCTTAAAGATAGATTTTATAGATGTGATACATGTTTACAAGAGGCATTCTTCACTTTAGATAACGCAAAATACTGGTATTTGGTTTTCATTTATGATTTTATGTATAAATGCATGGATGTTAATCGTTTTCATTTCATTGAAGGTGATACTGATTCATCTTATTGGGCAATCGCTGGCGACCCAAATCTTCCTAACACTCAAGCATTTCAAGCAATTGTAACCGATAAAAAATTTTATGATAAAAACATTTACAAATTCGCACCTTTTGATTTCTTCTGTTTTAATGAGAAATTTAAACCTAAATTAAAGAATAAAGCTGAAGAAAAAGCACATGAGAAGAAGTTATTGGGTTTAGCAATTGAGAAACAAGGTGATAACATGGTTGCTTTATGTCCTAAGTGTTATACTTCATTCAACGGTTCAATTGATGGAAGTGATTTTAAAAAGATTGCACAAAAAATGAAAGGAGTTAGTTTACGACAAAATAAACAATTAACACCTAAAAATTATTTGGATATAATAAATGATAAAGTGATATTTGATGGTCAGAATATTAATTTACAACTTAAAAACGGGTCAATGACTCGCTTAACAATCGGTAAGACTGCATTAACAGGAGCACACACTAAGGCTGTATGTTGTGAAAATGGATGTTGTATGCCATTTATTTAATAAAATGCCACAGAAGAGACAAAAGGAACCGTAAATAATGGTTTTGATACTATGATTCAAAGAGGCGGGCACCCTTAAAACACTTATTTTATTTTTATATAAATGAATAGCGTAGATTTAAAAAATTTAATTGATGATTTAGTACTTAATCAAAATTTTCTTAATTATTATGAATTAAAATCATATCTCCAAAAACATGATAACAATATAACGGGTGATGATATGGATTATTATTATTCGTATTATAAAAATGAAGTTTTGAAATATCATGATAAAATAATTTCTAAAATTAAAGACAAAATTAAAAATAATGAATATTCAAAGGGAAAAAGTAAATCACAACTTAAACAATTGAAAGATTTCAAAAATAAAGTATTAACAGAAGAAGATATTGATGAATTATATAAATTATATAAATTATATAATCCTGAGCCGCAAAAACCAAAGGAACAAAAACAAAAGGTGCAAAACGCCCAGGTCCTTCAGACCATAAATGAAGCACAAGCTTTAATTTATGATTCATTAGTTAAACCATATTCAGCCCGACTTTTAAATGAAGATCAACTTTTGGAATTCATCCTTCAACATAAACTCGAAGCGGGAAAGTATATCAAACCTTTATATACAGCATATTTAAAACAAATGAATAGAATACATCCAGAATTAATGAAGGGGGGAATGAAATCCAAAATCAAAGCAGATAAAATTAAACCACCTGCAACACCAAACCCTCCAACGACAGTACCTCCTCCTCCTTCAGTTAATCCTTCATCATTCACTTTATTATATCCATTTCAAACATTAAAGAAGCAAAAAGATTTTAAAAAGGATTTCAAAATATTAAATAAACCAACTGACCCAAAAATTCAACCGTTAAAGGAAAAATTTAGTCGCCCTTCATTTGCACCATATCCATATTCATACGAAATCGATCATTTAGAATATTCAAGAGGAAACGTTACTTATTTATTTGCCATTAACATTAACACCAGATATTTATATTGCATTCCGGTGAAAGGGAAAACAGAACAGGAAACAAGAAGAGCTATTCAATACTTACTAGATCATGAAAGAGTAGATAATATAAGGGGTGATGGTGATAAAGGATTTCAGGCAGCTATGGCTCATTATTTCCCACAAATTAATTTTTACTTTTCATCCTCTCCATATACGTTTCATAATAAAATAGTTGATGCGGTAATGAGAACTCTTAGAGATGCGTTAGGGGTTAATGGTCAGATATACTGGGATGGAAATCATGACTCCATCATACAGCAGTTAGTATATTATTACAATAATACATGGCATAGAACAATAAACATGAAACCGGTGGAAATGAAAAATGATATTTCAAAAGAATGGGAATATATTAGAAAGCAAATGGAAAGGTTGAATGATGTTAAACGTGAACAAATTAATTCGGGGCTCATGAATTTTAAACAAGGGGATAAAGTTTTGATTCATCTCGATTATGGAAAAACTGATAAATCAATGACAAAAAGAAGACGAAGATTTGACACAATAGCTGAATTTGTTAGATATATTAACGGCAATGCATTAGTTGAAGTTGACAATAAATTAATAGAAATTCCGATTTATTTTATTACTCCATTATATTTAAATAATATTTAATTTTTTTATTTCGTAAGAAATGAGTAACAACGAAGCAGTCAAGAGTCCAGACGATGAATATAAAAAGAAACTAAACAGAATTAAATCAAAAATATGTTATTACAAAAAGAAGCCACAATGTGGTGGGGTTGAAAACGATAAAGAGAGGAAAGAAATAATCGAAAAATTAGAAACTTATCGTTCAATCCTTAAACTGAGTGAAGCAAAAATAAAAGAATTTAATAGAATAAATAAATTGATTGGAAGAGATGAATTTAATAAAGATGAATTTTTAAACTCTATCCAAATTTAATTTTTATTCCTCTTCGACAACATCTCTCTTTCCATCATTACCGCATAACCACATTTTCTCAATTTTAGTGGTTTGTTATTTTTAACATGTTCTTGCATCATTTTTATCATTTCCTCCCTTGTTATGATTCGTGGTAAATTTTGAGCTTGTGGGGTATTCATTTATGATAAAAATAAAAATTTGTTATCACTTATTTTATCGTTAAGTGACTCAAAGAGTCCGGAGACAAAGTCTCATGTTTTTAGGTTATTCAATAATTAATTATTTTTGAATAACTGAAGGTGCTACCATGTTACCATGTGCTACCAGGTCATTTAACTTCTCTGAAAAAGTGTGACAACATGACATTTTGACAACAGTTCAGGAGGAAGGTAGTTATGAATTATTTTTGAAGAACTGAAGGTGCTACCATGTTACCATGTGCTACCAGGTCATTTAACTTCTCTGAAAAAGTGTGACAACATGACATTTTGACAACAGTTCAGGAGGAAGGTAGTTATGAATTATTTTTGAAGAACTGGGAAATAAATTTACGTCAAATATGCAATTTATAAAATCTTATGTCGACAGGCTACGTAGCACAGTGGTCTAAGGTGGTGTTATGGAGGGGTCAAGGTCTGTGGTTCGAACCGCGACAGCGCCGTATTTTCTTATTTTCTTTATTTGTCTTGTTTGTCGTGAATAAAAAGTATCATAAAAGTGCTCTATCTTCCACGGGAATAAATAAAAAATTTACTTTATTTCTTCTTTATTTCTTCTTTATTTCTTTGTTCCCGTGGAAGAAGGGTTTTGCTGTTTTTTCTCAGCCGAAATCAATGATTTTTTCATTTTTGGAATCCTTAGCGAATGAGGAATCTTTTCTCTCGTGGAAGCTTTGACCTAAAATATAATTTAGGTGAAGAGGTGAGATATCACCTGTTTTTTCACCTGTTTTTATGGTAGTAGTGAAATAAAATTTTGTTATCAGTTATTTTATCATCATTTTATTAAGTTCATCTTTAGTTAATAATTTGAATGGATTCGCTAATGTTCCACCTTGAGTCACAACACTTGCCCCGGCTAATTGTGAAGAACCTGGGATAAGTACTCCATGAAATGATTTCATTGGTATCATTAATTTAGAAATAGTTGGCTTAATTAATTTGGTCATTTATGATAAAAATAAAATTGCATAATTTAAATTTTTTTTCTTTCTCATTTTCTCATTTTCTCATTTTTCATTCTGTTTTGGTTTCAGCAACTTTTCAAGTTGTTGTCTTGTCAGTAACTTTAATTTTAACTTTGGATCAAATATTGGGTTTCCATCTTTTATCTCTTTCCAATAACACCATATGGTAGAATCTTCATTTATACTAAAATAAAAATTTAAATTATGCTGTTTGCTCTTTTGGAGCTCCTAAAGTTTGTTTCACAAACATTGAGCGTTCATTGAACTCTATACCATGCGAATACAGTCATAAATGGTGGCATGTAATCTTTACTTTGTCCCGTTGTTTGTGTATATCCTGAAACGCGATGTGTATGGTTTCCTTCTCCCTGAGTGTCACTCCAGTAACAATTTATGGCAAATTTAACATCATCTTTAACATCATATCCTTTACCTTTTGTCATTCCTGACCAATCCCAATATCTATGCTTATGCCAACCTGCTTGAGATGTGCTTAAATCTATGTAGTGACTGTGTGCAGGTAAATTTTCACCCGTAATTGTTTTACTTCCCCCTGTTTCCTTTGAAGAGTTTGCACAATACAAAAACCTGTCGACTATTTGTTCCATGCACCAACACCAAACATTGCTTGAGGACCTCTCACATCCATAGATGTATAAATAGAACCTACTGGGTTCATTAAATCAAACATATGAGATATTATAGGATTGTCTCTTTTGAACTTAAAATATAGTGTAAACTATTTCGGGTTTCTTCTGGTTTGTGTCAGAATTTTTTTATAATATAATCTTATGTTTTCAGGGTATGTAAAATCTTGACTATAATATTTATTTTTGTCATCTTCATAATAGTATACTATTCTCGTTTTTTCTATTGCATTATATCTTTTATATCTATAATAATCTAAATATAATGTTTGCTTTTTTTGGGTCTACATGTGCGTCAACACCATAGTCATAATAATACGGTGCTGGAGCTACGTTAGACAATGTCATATCCGTCATTTCATAAACTCTTAAATATTTCTTTTGTTCGTCTCCATATAAGTTTAAGTAGCAGTTGTTGTCTAATGGAACTTTAACTTGTGTGCCATTATTCTTTATATAGCCTACATACATTTCATTGTTTATTTTTCGGAATGAGTTTATACCGTATACCATTTCTTTAAGGACTGTACAAGCTCCCATCTAAAATATTTGTTTTCTTCATTGACAGAAAAGTCCCAACAATAGTTTCAATATTTTTTGTTCCAACTAAACTTTGGTATATTTCGTTAACAAATGATATATCTGCTTTCTTTGCTAAACTCATCGTTAACATATTCCTTATCTGCTTTCTTTGCTAACTCATCGTTAACATATTCCTTATCTGCTTTCTTTGCTAACTCATCGTTAACATATTCCTTATCTGCTTTCTTCCCTAACTCATCGTTAACAAATGATATATCTGCTTTAAGGTCTAAACATTCTGAAACCCATCCTGTATCAGCTTTAGTTTTAAGAATCTTCGATGTCCGTTCATGATACCATTCAACCCTTTCTATAATTTCATTATCTTTTCATTAACATATTCCTTATCTGCCTTCTTTGCTAACTCATCGTTAACATATTCCTTATCTGCCTTCTTTGCTAACTCATCGTTAACAAATGATATATCTGCTTTCTTTGCTAACTCATCGTTAACATATTCCTTATCTGCTTTCTTCATTATTCATTTAGGAAACCTTTTATGAATTCCTCATTTAAATTAAATCTTCCAATCTTCAAAACTTTAGGAAATGCATTTAATGCGTAATATCTTTGTTCTTCTGGTGGAATTGATGTTATATCATCCATTATTCCTTTAATTTTTGAATTCATAAATAAAATTTCTTTTATATTTGATATCACTGCACCACCTTTGCAAACG